GATGACACATTTCCTAAGTTACTGATATACTAATAAGAGGGAGAAAGTCTTTTGTGCCAATGGAGCAATAATATAAGGATGCAAAAAGTATCTTCAGAACCCAATAAAAATTAAATTATGTATTTTCATAGACCTTCCAGTAAATTAGATGACTTTAAAGTAGATGACTTTAATTCTTCTTTTAGCATTAAAAAACAAACAAAAAAATAACAGAACAAAATCCATAAGAACTCTGTGCTAAAGAAGGCTGTGACCTATGTATTATCAACTCTAGAAAATGATAATCGTGTATGAGTAAGAAAATCAGTAGCAACATCCTTTCATCATTTACCTCCAAAATCAGAAATGGAAATAGAGGCAGGAAAATTCAGAGTGTAGATTCATAAGAGTATCTCTGAGTAAGCACTTTGGTTATCCTACTGTGCTCAATATTTTTCCCAGTTTCTGTGGAAAACAGTACTTGCCTTTTCAGTTTCTGATTTTTGTATCTCAAATACAAATAATTTTCCTAAGATAGTCTCTAAAATAGCGGCTTCCTTCCACCACTTCTGCAGCATTATGGTCAGAAAGGCAGTCTCTAGGCTGCCACAGCAGTCACGGCCTTGCTCACTTGGCACGTTAGCTACTCTCATGGACCTTGACGTCCAGATATTGGCTGCAGTTCATGTATAACAGTCACAGGACTTCCTGTTCCTGTAATCATCACACAAATGGACTTTCAAAGTGCCTGGTAACTTTCTCAAAGTATAGTGAAACCTGCATATTCCCCTGAGGACAAGTCATTTTTATCTTAAAGTCAAAGCATGGTCATTGTAATGAATGAACTGCCAACTTCATATTTTAACTAAATATTTCTATCTGATCACCTAGCAGTACCATACCTTCAGTTCCCAGGATCCATGTGTTCTTGAGTTACTGTTTCTAGAAAAGGAAATAATGCAATCCATTAATTAAAATTCAGATATTAAAATGGAACTTATCTAATAAGGATGAACTTTATGATTTCTCTTTAGACCTATATATTTTCTCTTTACTGCAATCATACATAAAAACAATTGCTATGCTTCTTTAATACAGCTTATCATCCATATATGGATAGAAATAAAACTAGCAATCAGTTATATCTGCGTAAAAAGGATATATATTTTATTTATTTTTGCTTTCACTAATTTTTAGTTTTATACACATAAAGAAGTTACTAAAAGTTAAAGTGCATCTATAATCAACAGGTTTTTGGGTGTACCAAAAAAACATTAATTTTATAAGAGGATTCATTTTAATTACAAGAATACCACATACATATACATGTATTTCTGTACCCTTGTGATTATTCTATTTCAGTTTTTTAGACACTGATAATAATTATATCACATCATGCTCCTTTGTCATTTAAAAAGAATGACATATGCTTATGTACTTCTTTAGAGCCAAAATCTTTGGTAATTTATTAACACAATGCAATTCAGAATAAGTGTAAATAAAAAATGAAATTAGGTAGAAGTTTTGAATGGTATAAAGCAAATAACCACCATCCTTTACAAACACCAAATGACATTGCTAACAAGAAAAAGCTGGCCTGATATTTTGCTATTTGTGAGACTGGCTGTGTTTTTGAATTTCTCATTGCAATTCATATTTACTGATATTAAATTTAGGGGAAACAGATACTTAATTCCAAAAAATGCCAAAGGTAAAAAGACTTGGAAGCTTCTCAATGTCTTACTGTTACAATGAGTCTAACCTAAGTTCCAATATATGGAATCCCTTTAGGCCAGCATACTGCAAAGTCATGCCATTGACCCCACCAGAATTACCTAGGGAGCTTGTTGAAAAACGCACCTCAAACCTGCAGAATCAGTGTACCTGTGTTTTAAACAAACACCTGAGGTGACCCTGTGGACATCAAAGTTTAAGAACCACTGCACTTCAGTTTTGGAGTGGCAATGTTTATCACAACTGGTATAAATCTCTATTTTCTTTTGGTTAATTAATGGTTAGTAGGTTCCCAATGAAAAAAGAGCGAAGATCAGAGAAAGCTAAAAATTTAGAGTAATAATTTCCTTAGTATTTTGCACTAACCTTTTTTCTGGAGTGGGAAAAAGTTTTAAAAATGAACTTATAAACAAGACCGCACCATACCATATGAATAAAAACTATATATTCTAGAAGAATCTTTCCTAAAATATATATTTCTTGGAATACCAGTGCCTTGTTAATAGTGTGCCTCTAAAAACACATTTCACAGTGCATAAAGCAAACTATGAAAGTGCAAACTATCTCTCTTTTGGAGATAACAGTGATGGTGTTCAAGCACATACGAAAGGCTCTGAGAAGTTTTATGGTAAAAAACTGGTGGAACATTTTCTCAATATGTTTTACTATGAAAATTTATTTCCTAAACAACACACAGAATTCTCTTAAGACACTAGTATTTACTTCAAGAAACATATTTTGGGACATGATGTTCTAAAAGCAGCAAATTTGATAGCTGCTTTTGGCTTCTGTAAACTACCATAAAATACTTGACTTAATGAACTTGCAGGAGAGTTTGATCAGATTTATTATTTGAACCACATATTTAAAAGAAAAATTGCCTGACTGGTGTGGCTCAATGGTTGAGCATGGACAAGAGTTTCAGGTTGAATTCCTGGTCAGGGCACATTGCAGGCTCGATCCCCAATAGGGGGGCATATGGGAGGTAGCTAATCAATGATTCTCTCTCAACACTGATCTCTCTGTCTCTCTCTCTTTCTCCCTCCCTCCCTCTCTGAAATCAGTAAAAACTGTATTTAAAAAAGAAAAATTACCGTTTTGTTTAGCTTTTTTTTCTACATTAAAGACTTACCTAATAAAAACCCTGCTATGTTAATAATTTAGTAAATGACATATACAGAGCATCTAAATATTATATCCTTACTAGAGGTCTGGTGCACAAATTCGTGCACGAGTGGGTCTGACTGGCCCATCCCTATCGGGGCCAATCAGGGCCAGGCCGGCAGGAGTGAGGAGCCGTGGGAGGTTGGCCGCCGGCCCCACCCCTGCCCCCGATTGAGGCCGGGCAGATGGGGGTGGGGGACCGCGGGAGGTTGGCTGGCCGGCCCAGCCCCCGATTGGGCCGGTTGACAGGACGCAGTATGCATCATAGCAACCGGTCATTCCAATCGTTCTGGTCATTTCAGTCACTTGGCTTTTATATATATAGATAGATATCCAAAGTGCATTTGAGAAGTAAACATTTAGCTAATGACATAAACACTAGATTAAATGCTATTTTAGATTCTAGAATTTCTTCATTTTAAGAAAAATGACTATTCTGGCTTTTAAAAATAAAGTTTTAGGGATCAACTGCAAGGAAAGCAGGAGCAAGGCTAAATGAATGAGAGGATTCAAATTAAATGCACACCAAAGCCAAAGACCCCACTGATTACTGAGACATGCAACTAACTGGGAGAGAAAACTCAACAGAAAATTGCATCATGAGAGCAAAGAAGTATTTTGTGGGCAGAGAGCTATTATACAAGTCTTTTTAGAATTTATACAAAAGACTCAAGGGAATAAACCTCATGGAAAACAAAACTGTTTTCTGGAACTGGCTACCTGACTTTAAATGCAGGATGGAGAAATTGGGATTATTTAGTCTGAATAGAAAATATGGAGGGTAAAGGGTATATGATAGTTAACCATGAAAAAGATTCTCAACGTTGGCTTAGTGAAAAACTTAAAAGATTAAGAAGCAAAAATGATAGTCAAATTTTATGTTAAAGGTAGTCTCAGGTAGGAAGTAGTTAACTCCCTACCTTTACACCATTTAAGTTAACCACCTGACAGACATGTTTGAGGGTGGGGATGGGTGGAATTCAAGCATTACTTAGTGGTAGAGCCAAATAACCTGTAGGGCACAATTTAATTCCAGTATGTAAAAATGGAACTATGTATGTAGTGAATGAGTTTGGGATGACTAAATTGATGTGCTGGTAATTAATCCTCAACTCTCCTCACTTAGATTTTTCATTTATAAAGAGAACATTTTAAAATATGTCCTTTGACTCAGATACTTGGTTCAATTCTCATACAGTAAGTCTTGCCTGGGAAGATAAGACTGAAAATTTTATCTATATTTACTAAAATCACTGATTCAAAAAGAGAATTTTGATTTTTCAATGGATGTCCAAGCATGAAACACTCTATTATGCTCAGTGAATTTAATCTTTTACTAGTTTTAGTTTGAGGATAGTAGAGGCATAATGAAGACGTAATTAAGTGATGCTTTAACAACTGTGTACCAATTATAATGTCTTTTTTTAAGGTGCCAAGTTCTTGACTTAGATATATCCTTTCTGATATATAGTATTCATGGCAAGAGCTAATAAAAATTTTTCTTGGATTTTCAAAATACAAGCAGAGTAGGTTCCTAATTTTTAATTTTCTGAAATGACTATTCTTCCTATCACAGTCTGTTCTGAAAATTGCTTACATGTTATATTTTTGGGGTGGCCATTACATTTCTGTATTTGTAAAGGGAAAGTGTCCACCCTCCAAAACCAGTGACATTTATTTCAACTTACTATAAAAAAAAATTATCAGCAATTTAATTTTTTTCGTTATCACTTCTCTATGATCTTAAAAGATATTCACAAAATTACCAACAAATTTTGGTTTAACTATAAAAATACTGTATAAAAATATTTCTAATGATGTGTGTTTGGCTCTTGCCTTAGAGTAAATATAAGTAGTCAATCTTCATGTGTAGACTGAGTAACAATTACCATATTTTATTGAATCTAAGATGCAACTGACTGAAAGAAGCATCTTTAAGTTCCACTACGAAAGAAAAAAAAGCTGTCAATTACACTATGATACATAATCAATAATTGAGACATTTCCAATTGCAGAAGTGGAAAAATGTGCATCTCCAAATCAATGAAATATGTCATTTAGTCATATTCTAAACACTATCTATTAAATCTTTCACTCTCAACTTTCACATAAATAAGGCATGATTTAGTTAAGCAAAGAAAACTTTATTTCTACTACACATAACAACATATTGCTCTAAGAAACAACTACTATATTAGTTTTAGCATTAATGTGTAGATTAAGAAACAAATGTCAACAATCCCTGCTCCCCAGACAAAACAATGTTGTGCACAGACTATCAAACATATGAAAAAAAAGCTGTCAACTGTCCACAGGGAGTGCGTCCAGTCACATTTTCAGTCAGTCAGCTGAGGATTATGTCATTATTTAGTCTTTGTTCTGTAGAAAGAACACAACACAAGTATGAAAATCATCACCTGGAAGGAAACAGCTGTTGTAAATAGTATTCCTAAAATGTTAGGAATTGTTCCTTTATTTCAGTATAACCAATGTTATCTGCTTACTTATTCATAGATGCCCCCAAATAAGCAAAACCAAAGTTACCTGGAAGGATGATGCAAACACATACTGAATTTCTGGAGGGAAAATGCTGTAAATTAATACAAAATCAGAATGCTATGAAATACTAGAATTTCTCTTTCCCTCAAATAGAGGCATATTTTGTATATCAGCTTCATCTCAAAACATCAGTCAACTACTCTCGAAGTTATATTCTTAGACCAGTTTCTTCTTATATCCTAGGTGTGGCTCACTGAAACTTGAGCTTATTCCTCAGAGATGAAAGGAACTAGCCTTCTTGAGTGGTGTCATGTCCTCGTGAATTTCACTAATCTGACCCTCCTCATCTTTGCTCTAAATATGTATAATAAATAGTTCAATAAGGGAAAATGGTAGATGTATATTTCATGATTAGTCATGCTGAAAAATAGGCACTTCCTCAAATGTAGGGAATTGGATGGATGTACATCACTATTACAGGGTATTATAAAGTTCTGTACCAGAGAGCCTCAAGGTAGTTTTGTATCATTAAACTTTTAGTTTGTGATCATTTGGAGATGGTATCTCAAAGGTTTCACTTAAGTCACCAATATAAGAGTTTTACAAAATTTTAAAAAACATTTTAAATAATTAACATTGTTCTTTCAATAACACCATGAAAAAAACGCCTCAGAAAGGTGAAGAGATCTGCTCAATCATAGTCAGTTAAGTGTCAGTTGGAATTCAAACTCCGCTCTTCTCATTTTAAGTCTAATATTCTCCATATTATATCATAACCATTAGGAAAGATTCAACTACAAGATTAATTTACATATTTTTCTGATACTAAGAAGTTTTTAAAGAAAAAAATTCTTTGAATAAAAAAACTGTTACTTATATGTTGAAATATTCAGACATGAATAAATACACTTTCATGCTATTTTAGAAGATAGCTTGCCTAAACAAGTCAGTTCTTAACATTTTATTTGTAAACACAAATAACTGCTTTGTTTTAAAAAAGAATTGCTAATTCTTTTTCACTGGCAATTTAGTATTTCTACATTGTATGGAGTAATGGGTGTGGTTTTGTAATCAAATAAAACATTTGAAAACATTTCTAAATTAGGATTACTCACAATGGGCTCAATGAACACTTCTTATTGTCAACTGCCTTCTAGGAAGGAGGAACTAACCACTTAACTTGCTCTACTAGGGAACGGACATCAGCAGGAAGGCTTGAGGCAATTCATCCTGATATTGATAATTCTCTTGATCAGAAAGAAAACCTCAAGTGAAAAATGTGCATCCAAAGGGCTTGCCAACTGCTACCATTTGACTAGCAGTGGACTTGGGAAGCTAGTATGTGTGAGAAGAGAAAACGCTCACTCCTCCTCCTGAAACTCAGAATTCATTTATAGAATAAAAATGTGAAATAGTTGAACATTTCTAAATTTACAAGAATGTTTCCCCAACCCATGAAGATATAGATTGACTGTTATAGAAAACAAAAATTTAAGTTCGATTTCTGAAAACTAATAAAAGAAATTTATATGGCTGCATGTATCAATATTTATGATAAACAAAAGGGTTTTTGGTAAATTGTCAGGATTATTTTTTAATGCATATATGCACAGAAGAATATTTTTCTGAATGTGTAGTTTTAAAGCACAAGCTTATATATATAAGTCCAGGAAAACACCAACTTTAGGTTCAAAGTTCTATTATTTGATATTGTGCTTTAGGCATTTTATTAATGAGAACTGAAAACATTCTTTATAAAGACTTATAAATTACTTCATTTCATAATGCAAGTCATTAAGTCTTCAAGTTAAAAATCTTTATGAGTACTTCAACTTTAATGTTTATGAAAGCATATAGTAAAAAAGTTCAACTCTTAATATCTATGACATTCACAAACCAAAAAGTAATTAATTTTCCAATTTGAAATGATTTTATTTTATAGAAGGGCAAAAACATTCTTCCAGGAAACATTGAAACCATTTAAGTTTTAAAAAGTTCAAGTTAAAAAAAAAATTTATAAAATTAATCTGAACTGGTTTTATCAGCAAAGTTGTAAGCCACAGTGCTCTCAACTGACAACTTCTAAAAAGAAATTCCTAAAGTACATATTATACATATTCCTCTTGCTACACTATTTAGCCAGTGTGTTTTAAAATTCAGATTTAAAAAGGCTTACCTCAAGAATCAGTAAGTTCTTTGTCGTTTATTAGATTCTTCACGTGGGGAATCTGCCAGCATAACTTTAAGTCTGACTCCATTCAGGATCTTTCCATGTAAAGTACTAATCGCATCATTAGCACTTATTCTATCTGCATACTTCGCATACCCCACATTTTTTCCTGACACAAGGTAAACTTCGATCAGGTTACCAAAACGACTGAAACAAAGTAAGAAAAAAAAAAATCAACTGACGTTACTAAATACTGCTGCTCAGGTCTAAAAGTTGGGGTCCATTCTGGACTCCCTTCTCACCTCTTTCCCCATATCGTATCTCCTATTCAATCTCACTTCTCAAACATTTCTCTGTCAGTTTCTCTTCATTCTCACTCAGGTTTCTTTTTTCATGAAGACCATCATGACCTTTTCCTTAGGTTACTCTAATATCTTCTTTACTAGTTTCCCTGTCCCTCTCCAATCCATTCCCACCCTGTCTTCTGAGTGATCTTTCTGAAACATAAATATCATTTCCTCCCTAAAAGTCCCTTCAGCAGCTCCTCATTGCCTCCAGAGTAAGACAAACTCCTTAACATACTTTGTGAGCCTTTCTTGACAGTTTCTTGTCCTCTCCAGCTTTATCTTCCCTCAGTCTCAAATTCCATATTCTAATAACCTCTTTCACATTCTCTCTGGCAGCAATAACCACCCACACTCCCAGCTTTCTTTCTGGGTTAAATTATTTTTATCCTTCAGGTCTCCACTATACCTTACTTCTTTTAGGGAGTCTTCTAAGTTCATAGCCTGTCCACTCTTTTCATAGCACTAATCTTACCAGGTTGAAATTCCCTATTTACTTATATGTCTCCTAAATAAGGTAATCTCTAAGACAATAACTATTTTATCTTGTTTACCTATTATAATGTTTTGTTTATATAATGTCTCTAGCATTTAGCATGGTGCCTGCCTGGACCAGAGGACAGGTTCAAGAAATAAACTAAATGAGTCAGCTAAAGGAGAGTCAAAATACTTGAGTTTGAACCACATACCTGACATTTTGTGCAGCTCTTTGGTAAGTTTCCTATCTATCTTTTTAATTCACTAACATTGTTGTAAGGCACATGGGAAAAAGAAAAAGTTAAGGTAGGAATTATATTAAAAACAGAAATAAACAAGAGCCTTCCCCCTTTTTACACTAATTATATGTTCTTCCATACAATCAAGTAATTGTTTACTCAATGAAGTTTTTATAAAATCCTTAAGGATACAACAGAGTATGAACAAAACAGAAGATACTTAGTAAACTTTGTTCATTTAAATTACAACTACAATGAGAAGGCTATGTGGAAAGAATTCTAGAGGACAGGTGTATGCAGATGTATCTTATATGAACAGATGACTTGTCCATTCTACATATGCTTTTCAAAACAATCCTATGGGTTTATGCCTTAAAAAAAAAACAGGAAATTAATTCTGTGTGGAAACATAGGATGTGTGAATGATAGATAAGGAAATGATCATATATTTTAAAAGGTGATATCAATAGTTTTTTAAAGCACAGAACAGGCCCTAGCTGGTTTGGCTCTGTGGACAGAGCATGGGCCTGCGAACTGAAAGGTCCCAGGTTCGATTCCAGTCAAGGGCACATGCCTGGGTTGCAGGCACGATCCCCAGTAGGGGGCGTGCAGGAGGCAGCTGATCAATGATTCTCTCTCATCATTGATGTTTCTATCTCTCTTTCCCTCTCCCTTCCTCTCTGAAATCAATAAAAATATATATTTAAAAAAAAAAAAAGGCACAGAACAAATCATCTCTATCTAATAGGTATTGGATTTAAGTAGTTTCAAGATTGTGAGTGCTTAAAGGACTGGTTTAAACAAATTATATTATAAAATGTAACTTTGTAGAACTGATATCTTACCAGAATATATCCTCTAATACATCTAAAGGTAAAGGATGAGGGTTAAACACGATAAACAGTCTTTCTTTCACAGAAGTTTCAGGAGGGGCTTTTTTTTTGCATGATGGAAGTACAACATCTGTCTGGATTTGAGGTAACTGTGATCCAGAACTTCCTCCAAATTGCTGCTGAAGAGGTGGGTACAAAACGAGAAAAAGAAAAACTACACTTTAGGGATCTTAAGTCAAGTGCTAAAGAGATGAGTATCATGGCACCTATGTGGTCTTTTACTATAGCTCTGAAAATGTTCTTACATAGGTAATAAACCAAGGCCGCATTTATTTTATACCCTATGGAAGGTTAAATCTTATCTACTTACCAGAAGTTGCTGCTGACTTGGGTTATTCCACACCACTGATGCAAGCTGTGCAGCTACCATCTGTGTTGCCATTTTTCTAAGGAGACTGGAGATAACAACGGATAACTTATAGAAAACTAGAAATACTGTCTCTTAACAGTAACTTTTGTATGGCCTCCTCACTTGAGAGATTGTTTTATATTTTTATTTTTCAAATCATAATCACATATACCCAAAGCTTGGCTTTAGACACTCCTGGAATGGTACTTACTCTGTGGCATTATTCCCATCATCAATGAAAGAAACACCTATCCGATTTCCAGGAGGGTACTGAAATCCATGTAACTTGTATTTTGCATAAATAGCTGATGCTACATTGAAATACTGAACCACTCCATGACCTAAAACAAAGGTAGATAATATAGAGGAGTTAAAGAGAAAAAAGATTGAATACTTTTGTGGTATTGCCACAAAAATGAAACAATGTAGAAAACCCTAATATCATACAGACAGTAAATACAGAATCAAGTGTGTCAGAAAACAAAGTTCGCTTACACACCTGTGTAATAGTTGTGTTCCTACAAAGCAAAGTATAAGCCAGATTTTGGTAAAAATATGAACATGATATTTTAAGGAAAATACCTCCCTTTAAATGCCTCCCTTGAAAAAAGCCTTTTAAAGTCAAAAGGCTTTAAAAATACAAGATGGATTAAGCTAACACTAGATAATAGGCTTCATCAATTAATTAGCTAAAAGTTCAAATGGCTGATATTACAGCCTTGCTTCTATTAAGAGTGGGAAGTATAAAGTAGGTACTTGAAGTGAAGGAAAGAAGTTTCAATTCAAGATATAAAGTTTAAGAAAAAGAGATGTAGGGCTGAGGAGGATATTTAAGGGTTTATAAATTTGCCTAGCATTAATCAAGAGTATGGATTGCGGAAGCTCAGAGGGAAAGCGAGGGAGGGTGGGTGGGAAGAAGAAGAAAAAAAAAAAGAGTACAGAGAGAGACCCTATCTTGAGGTGCTTTTGTTTTACAACCAGAAATAGAAAATGCTCTATTTTGTGGGAGTTAAAATATTAAAAAAAAAAAAAAAAAAGACTCAGTAGAAAGAAGGCATATTCCTAGGGGTTTATTTATTAAGGAATCACTGTATTTAAAGTTTAAAGCAGATAAAAAGAAAAATTGTCACACAAACAGTATCTAACATATGAAGTCTCATTGGAGAAAAGCCATTTTAACAAAATACACACTTAAAAATAATGTAGACATTATTTTACCATAGTTTGAATAAGGATCTCGTTGAACTTCACAATATTCCAATCCTGGTACTATATCAAAAATGCTGAAAAGCTGCTCTTCAGTGAAAGGAACTCTTGATACAACTGACAGGCGTTTGGAGATAGCTTCTTGGCCTCTGTTGTCATTCTTGTCAAAATTTGAAAATTCAGGTTGTTGCTCTCCAATAATATAGAAAAAAGTAAATCTTTAAATTTCTATACATTCAAGAATTCATTTAACACTTTAGGTACTAGAAAGGAAAATGAACTTTCACTGTGCCCGTTCCACTGAACAAAGGCACTGTATTTTGTTCTTGGTAATCAGTACGAACAAAAGGAACCAATGACAAGAAAACTGAAAACTTTTGCCCACTGCCCAGCCTTCAACACAGAAACATAAGCAGAAATGTGTAGTCTAATTTCATAGGATTATGTTTAGTATGCGAAACTGCAAAATATGACCTGTTTCTTATAAAAGAACATTTGTGCCAAATGACATTCAGTCTTTACTTTCACCACTCATTTCCCCCTTTTCCTAGCTTCCTACTTTTGCTATTCCTCTCCTTTCTCTAGCTTTAATTTTAAAGCAACAGTGGCTTAGGGACACAATTTTAGGATTCAATACTGAGGAAATATCTGTCTATGTCTTTCATACATTTTTGGCCAGCTGCGTAGAGATAGCAGCTCACCCAAAAAGGTGGTAGTGACAATTTAATATTGAGAAAATGCATAACTAACCATAGAAAACTATAATAGAAAGTAAGTTAAAATAAGTGTTAAATATTAAGGACATGAGAAGTCATGACAAACTAAAAACAAAACAAAAGCACCACTACAGTATGACTTTTATTCACTAAGTGATATATTACAGACTGCTAATAAAATAATACTTTTAAAAAGTCAGTTGAGATTGTATGTACTACTTCCCCTATAAGGTAAAGGTAGCCCACTTACCAAATGGAAACATATTTATTCTAGGTTCATGTCCCAAAGTCTCCTGCCTCATATTACTATAATAATCTTGTTCTGAGGATTCAGATGCTTTATTTTTGGGTTCAGCCAAGATTGCCCTAAAACCTGAAAAGAGAATCCATAAATTTCAAGCTTCATAGCAATTTAACATACCTGTAAATATACTTGATTGCTAGTGATTGACTCAGCTTTATAAATACAGGGTGTCCCCCAAAAAATGTATACACACTTTGAATAATTATTCATTCTAATGGGTTAAATCTGAAAAGAAACATCAATTGAGCTATCAAAAAAATGTATGTGTATACATTTCTGGGGCATACCCTGTGTAATTGTATAAAACAAAATATATATAATTGCCATCTCCACCAGACCCTACTTCTTTGCTTTTAGGAATATAAAAAAGGTCAAATAAAAAACAGCAAGAATTCCAAATTATGGGTCAATGTAAGACATGAAGGATCAGCAATTCTATGCTATTCTTTCTAATCTCCCCTAACTACAGATGACATCATCATTCACTGTCGCAGGCTCCTCAACATCAAATAGGCTTCTTAACATTCAACCTGTCATCAAGATTATTCCTTTGAAATACACTAAGATGGTGTTATATTTCACTCTAACTTCCCTTCCTGTTTTTAATTTAGATTCTCTTCAATTAATTACAACAACCCTTCAACTGGTCTCTTTGCCTATGGATCCAGGATTTTAAATAAGGATGCAAGAATGAGCTTCAAAAGGTGGGAAGGTTCCTTCATGAACCTTCTGAAACTCAAAACAAAATGCTTATGCATATGGACATGTTTCAAAGAAGAAGGTTCATAGTTCCCATTGTATTATTCAATGGCTTCAAAAAGGATGAAAGTAGCCGGTTTGAATTCTTTCCCTGGAAATCCATCCTTGATATTGTGGTTAGATCAACTGTACTGAAATAGTTTTTATTTTTTCCTTTTAAAACAATCTACAAGGCAATCCAAAGTAGCTCTCACCTTCTGTCCCGCCTACTCCCCACCACATGCAAATCCAACTTCCAATGTATTCCCATGTTCATTCAGTGTACTTGTTTTTCACCTGTTAGATTATTTTCAGTATCTTTAAGTTCTCAATAAATGTTTATTAAGGGTTTATTACTATACTAGGTACTTGGGATGACAGAAATAGACAAATAAGACATACACTTTGCTTTCAAAGAGCTTTTAAAAATTCTTTTATTCTTTATATTTTGCCCTTTAGATCTTGGCTATGCAATATAGCTATAAATTCCTTAAATGACAAGATTATTTCATATTTCATTTGTAAGCCTCTTCTTAACCTATTGATGAGTATACCATAGGTATTCAATTAATGCTGAGTGAGAAATTTAGAAGGCTCTGAGAGCAAATTTTGGTGTGTACCTTAGGGTTACCTAATTAACAACAATTATTTGCAGTATGTATAAATTTTTATATCCTGAAACACACTAATTTAATTACTGCATATCGCATTTCTAAAGGTCAATATATCTAGAAGTATCACAATAAGGAAAATTCTCCTTGGCTGCTGCTGCTTTTTTTTTTTTTTTATTAATCCTCACCTGAGGATTTTTTCTATTGTTCTCAGAGTGGATGGGAGGGAGGGAGGGAGAGAGAGAGAGAAACATCAATGTTAGAGAGACATATTGATTGGTTACCTCCCACAAGCGCCAGGACCTGGGTGGGGAATGACCCTGCAACCCAGGTACATGCCCTTAACCTGAAATCGAACCTGTGACCTTTCAATGCCCTGGCTGATGCTCTAACTGAGCAACACCAGCCAGGGCTCTTCTTTATAATTCTTATTCTCCATGATGTGTACCAGGCAACAGCAGATCTAATCAATGTCACTCTAGCTTGAAATTAACTCAATGTATATTTACTTACCTATATTAGCAAACTTATAAATGCTATCCTTAACCTCGGTTTGTTAGTATACTAAATTCTATTTAGAGTTTAGGTCAAATATGAATAAATATTAAAACTTATTGAGTTTATTTTAATATGAATATTTTTAAAAAACACCTGAAAGGGTAGATCAATTTCTTAAATACTTAATATTGTAAAATATGTACTTAAAAAAAAAACACACAAAAAAACAATCCAGCC